CAGTTCTTTCCTGAGCAACTATCTTGTCCAAGGCACATGTGTGGCTTCCTAAATGCCTGTGTTCACCATGAACACTTTCGATTTGAAAACACAAATTTCCCAGTGAATTTCTCTTCCCAGTGAATTTGTTACTTTCATGATTTAGGTTGGTCTGTTGTATGCACCAACTGTAATCTTCAACCCCAGGCAGTTGCAGGTTGTTTATTTACCTAATGTTTTCAATCAATGGCTGTTATTTACTTTTCTGTTTGAGGGTTCCAGTTAGGTGAAACAGAGATGAGTGCCTTCAGCCTGTTCCCAGTCAGATCAGAACTGTCAAACACAATCATTGCTGGGGACCAGGTTTCCTCCGTTGGAAGGTGGGCTGCTGTCTTCAAATTGGCTTTTTAAACAGGAAGGAGGAAGTTCGGGGGCAAGTAAAAAGTGTTGTAAAGTTTCTTGGCATTACTAAGTTGCCTTTTTTTTTTTTTTAAGATTTATTTATTTATACAAGAACTGGGGTACAGGCCAGAGGCGAGGGAGGGCGTGAGGGTGAGAGAATTCACCAGAGACAGAGTGGGGAGCAGAACAGGCAGACGACCCAAGACACTGCTGAGGCAGGAGAGGTCTGCTGCGCCATGTGGGTATCGCCCTGGCTGGCGGGGAATCACCACCCTGCAGAGGCTGCGGACAGCTTCCCAGCGCGGTGCTCAACCTGCTGCGCAACCAGGCATCAGGGAGGCCCCCTTTTTTTTTTTGAGTCATCATTTATCTGGTTACTATAAATCTTTGACTGTTTTTTCAGAATTTTGACAACGTAGATTTGACAGTTTCTGAGGATTTTTTAAAATGTTTTTTGTGGAAGTACGCAAGTTTTGAACTGCTTACTCTTCCAGGGGCCTCTGAGGTTCTAACACCAAAAAACATGGTATCTTCCACACCAATTCTTCATCACCAAGAAGGTATCCAAACATTCAATCTTGACACTATCTCATGAGTAATTAGCTCAGACTTTACAGGCTAAAGGTTCAATTCCACAATACTGCCTTTATTTCAGTTAACTAACTGCCAGCCCTATGGGCTACTTGTATTTCTGAATGACCTGCTAAGGTGTGAGGTTTGATAATTCTATCCCCTTCTCAAGTTTGATAATTCATTGGAACAGCACTCAGAACTCAGGAAAACCCCTAAACTGCTTGGAGGAAACAGTTCAGGAACAACCAAATGGAAGAGATGTTGTAGCAAAGTTTCAGGGAGTGGGAATACAGAGCTTCTAAGCCCTCCCTTGTCTCTCAGTACTTCTAGGGCTCACTAATCTCCCTCTAATCTCTTGGTTGGTCATCCTGAAGCTATCTAGGAACTCTGCCCTGAATCAGCTCATTAGCATTTATTCAGATGTGTTGGAAAGAGGTTCATTGTCAATAACAGAAGACAATCCCGTCCCTCAAGAAAATTCAAGGATTTTAGGATGTGTGTGTAGGAAATAGGGAAAAAAGATCAATTATATATTTTTAATATGTCACAGTCCCTAGAGGATAAAAGCATATAGGGTCATAAAAGTCACAATTTGATCCTACCAGTTAAGTAGCCTTCCTAACAGTCCCCTTATGAAATTATTGCAACTTGAATTAGATTGATAATAGTAGAGATCCAGTAAAATGGACAGGCTTGGATATGTTTTATAGGCAGAGTCAATTGAACTGACTGATGGATTAGATATAAAAGGCAAATGAAAGAGAGAAACCAAGGATACTTTTCAGATTGAACAATTGGGCGGATGATGGTGTAATCCACTGAGAATAATCTGGTGTACCATGTGGGTCACCACTGGTGTAATCCTCCAGAGAGTGAAGCAAGAACAGGAGTAAAATTGTAAGAGGGACAGTGCGGAGCAACCTCTGAGCCAGTGAGTGATATTCATAGTGTCGTGAGCAAGAAGCAGGCTCAGTCGGAGGATGGCTCTCAAAAGAGAATTTATTTATGCTGTCACTCTAATACTTAAATCAAATGGGAAAAGCCAACCCAGTATACCCAATGTACCTTCAACCAAAGCCATAGCACGACTTGTCTTAGTCCAATGTTCTGCCAGAGCAGCTTACCAGGCAGTGGAAGTCTCTAGGCTGGAGGACCCATCAAATGGATTGTCAACACAGGATGTTCTGGAGAGGTGGGCAGGATGGAGAGCAGGCAAAATCCAAGGGAAGCAGTGAGCTAGCCCTAGTGCATGGTTATATTCAAGCCAGTCTCTAAACTGCTCCGGTTAGGCTGTTGTGGGCACCAGCTTATATCCTCTTATGTGTATCTCTGGCATAAGTAGGTAACATCTGTTGCTTCTTGGCAAGGTCACTTAACATCTGCTATATCTTGGCACAACACTCAGGGTTCGTGACTTACCCACAGTCTGTTTGCAAGTCACTCTTATCACACTCCACAGAGTGCTTACAGGCACCTTAATTTTAATAGTTTCATTTTTGGTCAGTTAGTTTACTTTGCACATGTTATTTTTTCATATGCTCATTACACATAGCCATCTTAATGGTAAAAGTTAGAGCTTTCTGAATTCTGCCCCCTAATTCCCTAAATGGGGTCTACTAGGAATTAGGGTTGGAGCAGAGCCACTAGGTGGGCCTTAAGAAGACTGAACACAGGTGGGTCACTTTTATTTTGGCTTCTGCTCATATCTCATCTCTGCTCAGTTGATACTACCTGCTGGTACAACAGATGTCTTTCAGTATGTGTTGGCCAATGCATTTTCTTCTCCTCTTTCTTAGCTCTCTCTCTTCTTGTTCCCCATGAAAATCTGCTTTTGGGTCTTGTCTTGTATTTTTAAGTGCAAGGGTAAGGAGTCACAGACCACGTCATCCCAATAGCAGTTTGGCACCCAACATGGGGCTCCATGATCCTGGGATTAAGAGTCCTATGCTCAGGCCTCCCTGGTGGCACAAGGGGTTAACATGCAGCACAATGAAGCTATCTACAGCCACTACAGCATAAGTTTGATCCCTAGCCAGATTGGTGACCCACATGGTACAGCAAACCTCTCCTGCCTCACCCACTGCTCCCCTTAGTAGTGTATTTCAGTACATCTGCCTGTTCTGTCCCCACTCTGTCTCTGAATCCTCTCACTCCACCCCCACCCCCGGCCTACACCCCAGCTTTTGTATGTATAAATAAATAAATCTTTTTTTAAAAAAAAAAAGAGTCCCATGCTCTACTGACTGAGCTAGGTCAGGCTGTTTTTGGCAAGATAAGTTTGATATGACTATGAGTGAGAAAGTAATATAATAAGTAACTAGTTGGATTTGTGAATCTAGATTTTGGGAGAGAGGTTTGGATTGGAGAGAAATTTGAGTCACCACTATAGAGAAGAAGGCGAGGACTAAGTCCTGGAGCTCTGCAATATTTAAAGATTGAGTCAAAAGGAGAAATCAGCTAAGGATTTTTAAAAGAAGGCCCAGTGAGAGGACAGGGAAATCTGTACAGTGACATGTTGAGGATTTTCAGAGCAAAAATATTTCAAGGAAGAGTAAGTGTATTAACTGTTTGTAATTATGGTGAGCAATCAATTTAGATAAGAATAGAGAATTGGCAATTGGCTTTGGAAACATGGAGTTCAAAAGTAATCTTGATAAGTGATCTAATGATAGGAGTGAAGCTTAATTTGAGTAAATACGAAGTGAGGATGTGGGAACCAGCACTATTAATATCTTGAAAAACCTGAGAGTTCAAGCAATTAAGAGTAGAGAAATAGGGCAGTTATGGAAGTGATTTTGGAGGCAAAAGTTTATTTTAGATGGGGAGGAATTTCAGTACGTTTATATGCACATAGGTGTTATCCAATAGAAAAAAAGTAATAATGCTGGCAGGTGAGGTAATTGTAGGAGTGGAATCCTCAGGAATGTGGGAGGGAAGGGAATCCAGGTCACTGGTGGAGGGATTGGTCTTGATAGGCATGGTGACACCTCACTCACAGTAACCCAAATGTCAATATGCTGTAGTTTCGATTGTGAAAGGATAAGGGAGTTTGTCTTTTATCTTTTAATGTTTTTCCATGCATTATGAGGAACAATAGAGTGGCAAAAAGTGGAGGGTTGGGAGGATGTATCAGAGGCTTTTAGTAGAGAGGAAAATGTGTGAAATAATCCTTTCAGTCTACTAAAAAGTCAATTTAGCAAGGAAGCCCTCCCAGGATTAAGTACCTCTCCCAGTACCCTTTCTTCTTACTGAATCTGTTAATTCTTTTCTGGTTTTTATCACCATTTGTAATTATATCAATCGGTCCACTTCTCTGTTCCCCCATCAGAGAACTACAGGAGGGCAGGGGCTTTGTTGTATTTAATTTTCTGATGTGTGTTAGGAACAGTCACTAAAAAATTACTTGTTCAAACAAAGAAGTTAATGAATGAACTTCTCCAGAATTATGTTTTAGGCCACCCGTTTAGTGCTTGTTTGGACAAGTCACTTTTCCTCTCTGAGCGCTCACGTCTAAATATATACCAAGGGAATTACCATCTTCTCTTCCCTGCCTACCTCCCCGAGTGGTCAATGAGGAGCATCTGGGCTAATACATCTGGAAACGCCTAATCAAGTGATCCTTCAATGTAATGATGATTTTTAGCCCACAGTCTCACAGGTAGCAGGTGCTGAAGAGGACCTGTTGATTGGGGGAGGGGGCATGATAGTTTCCAGTCACCGTAGGCATGGAAGCTTTGCAGAGGGGTTCCGCGGGACGTGGAGGGGCGGGGCTCAGGCCAGCAGCCCTCCCGCTCCGGCCCTGGCCTGGAGGCGCTCGCCAGAAGAGGTTGGGGGGCGGGGAGGCGGAGGGGGGAGTAACTGTCAAATCTTCCCGCTTGGCGCCATTATTTAAATGGTACGTGCCCGTCTCGCAGCTGTACGTGCCCGGGGCGGGGCTGCGAGCGCCGGGAGCGGGGCGGAGGCCGGGGGCGGGCCCGGGAGGTGGAGGGGCGAGAGGGGACGGGTCAGGGCGGGGCCAGGCTGGTTAGAGGGGCGGGTCTAGCGGCGGCCCCCGGCGAGGTTCACTGCGCTTGCGCTGACAGACGCAAGATGGCGGACAGTGCGGAACTAAAGGTAAAGCGCAGCTCGAATTCACTTCTAATATTCGGCCGCGGAGACGGCGCCGCTGGTGCCTAGGGGGGGGATGGGTCCGACCCTGGGGGGCCGCTCGGGCTTGACTCCAGCCGGGCCTGGAGTTGTAGGGAGGAGCGGAGCGCCGGGCCCCAACTGAGGGGGCCGGCAGCGGCGGGCCGCGGGCCCCGGGTGCCTCGGGGGCGCTGACGGGTCGTCCCCGGCGTGTTATTGTTGTGGGCGCCTCTGGCGGGGGTGGCGGGGGACGAGCTCGGGAGTCGGGAGGTGGGGGCCGCGGCTGCCGCTGGGGCTCGGCTTCCTCACCTTCCAGCAGCCTCCCCCGCCCCCCATGAGGAGCGGGGGCTGGGGCAGGGTGTTCGTGTAGGGGGGATTGGAAAGCTCCCCGCTGCTGCTTCCTCTTCCTCCTCTGCAGTCCCGGGCTCCTGTCAGGCGCTTCGCCCCAGACCCCCGGGAACTTGGCTCCGGCCGCCCCGCCCCTCCGCGGCTCCCTGCTGCCCCCGCCCCGGACTCGGTGCTCCCCGCTGCCCTCCTGTCAGCAGGCGCCCGGGGTGCCCCGCTCGTGGCAGCGCAGTCCTGGGGCGATGGGCTGGGGACGTGGGGGAGAAGCTCCGGTAAAGTTTAGTGAGCCCCCCGGTCGGCGTTGGGGTTCAACTGAGGGGTAGCGGGGGAGTCTGTCTGGGCGGGACGTTACTCTTTCTCCCTGATTCCGGGCAACCGGTGGGGAGAAACCCCCTCGAAGGGTGTGTGTTGGGAAGCAGCGGTGGGTATTGGGAAGCAGCGACCTCTCCCTTCTTTGCCTTCGCTTCTGTGGGTGGTGTGGAGGGTGAGAGGAGCCTTTGGGGGTCTCCGTACACACCATGATGGCGATGCTATAGCTGATGGAGGTGAATGGTTCGTGTTTATATCCCCCGGTTGCCTTTTGTTTGTAGGGACATCTTGCTGGCCATGTTGATTTGAACGAGATTCTCCCCTCTTCCTACTTCAACCCCCAATAAATAGAACGTTCCTCCGCTCCTCTCAACTGTACCAATTACTCACGCCTCGCGAAATTGGATAAAAGGGTGCCCCCTTTTCCCCCGCTTTTTCTCCACCCCAGTCTTCTTTACCTGATGATGGCTTCTTTACCGAAGCAGATATACCACTACACAAGCCGTTGGGGGAGGGGGGTGGAACCCTTATGATTGGATTGTGACAAATGGGGCTCCGCTTGAATAATTTTGGTTTAGTAGCAGGCAGTTTTTAACTAACGCGTATTATTTGGAGGCTCTGAACGCGATATTCCCTTCTCTGAGGCTTCCTGTGTGTGAACCGAGCAGCTGGTTATATCCTGACCCAGAGAACTGACATCTCTGTCAGAGTGGAGATGGGGATATACAGTTGTAGATCTTTGGGGGGAGAATCCTTTTTTTTTTTTTTTTTATAAAATTATTAAAAAAAAAAATCTCTCCGTTATAATGAAACGACAACTTCTAGGATAACCAAACCAGAGATTTGCTTCTGTTGAGTTTTTCTGTGGAAACCTTCGCTGAAAGATTTTTTTTCAATAATTTTGCATGTTAACATCCCCAAATTTGTGTATTAAACCGCTGGCTTTGATTGTCATTCTTTTTGAATTTACTTCTAATCACTAATTTATTTAAGGGAGAGCAGATTTATTTAGAACGGTTGGTTTCGTTCTTCCCTAGTTTCAAACTATTGACTGACATGAAAAGCCTTAGGAATTTGAATATTTGGAGATAATTAACTTGAAATAAAAAAGCACCTAACTTGAGCATACATGTTTTCTGTAGTTTCACTCTTAAAATGTAGTCACTATGTTGCTGTGATCTTCGCCTTCTAATATTTGTTAGGAATCCCTTTGAATGATAGCTATTCAGTTCTGTTATACGTGGACCACAGAGTAAAGCTGAAAAGCTTGTGCTGGTTATATTGTCACTCTTGATCCTGTCCAAAGAAACTGGTATGGAAAGCACATGCTGAGAGATTTCCTCCTTTGTTCTTTCTCATTTTAAGAAAGTGCCTTTGGGGATAGATCAGATCCCTGGTGTGAATCTTGTTAGGTAAAGTTTCTCTTTACAAAAATGAGCCCGTATCAGATAAATGCTAAACACTTGGGGGAAACATTAATTTTCTAAAATTGATCCTTTCCCTCCCGCTCCTCAAATACTTGAGTTTTTTCAGAGGAGTTGTTTTCTACTTGTATGTTCCTATTGTACCATTTTTTTCAATTATAATAACTGTTTTGACATACTGGTCTGTCATTGTGTGCACCCAGTACTTGGAGGAACTGTGATAAATTGCTTAGCTGGTGATAGCTATGTAAAATTTTGTTAATACTTGGTTGTGGTTAGAATTGCTGTTCCTCTTTTTTTTCTTTTTTTGGAGGGGGGGATGATGATCTCAGGAACACCTCCCATAGTCATTTGAGAATGTTTATATATATAATCTGTGCAATAAGCTTTTGGAAATTATATTTTTTAGAGCTTTTGTTTCTTTAGGTAAATAGCATTTGTTCCTAATAAAGTAGGAAAAGTCAGAGTAAAAATTAAGAAAAGCCCAGGTTTAGGGAGTTTTAGGTGAAAATACAGTACTTCCCAGTGGATTTCCAACTTTAAGTAGACAGAGTGGCTTTTTTGTTACTTTAATTGATGACCCACATTTCATATTGCTGTGAATTGGATTCATAATTATTTTCTTCGAGGCCCATTTTAGTGAGTCCTTTTACATCTATAACAAATTTGCAAAGATCAGTTGGGAAAAAATGGATAGATCTGTATCCTGTCAGAATAGTGCAGTCTGCAAGACTTAAAGATATTGCCAATAAAAATTAGATTCTGAGTCATGCATATCAAAGTGAGTTCCCTGTGCATATTTGTCTATGAAAGATTTAATTTTTCTTTAGAGGAATGCCCATAAATGACATTTCTAAGAATATAGAGGGTGAACATTTTATTACCTTTAGGAACTTAAAAGCAGGAAGGTGTGATGGTCAGGTGATCTTAGTTAATATCTGACAGCTTAATGTAATTCCTTTTAAAGTATTTTTGAAAATAAATTACAAATGTTTTTGACATTAAAGCACAAATCAAGCTATATTGCCATTTTAATTCACGGGAAGAACAGTGGAAGGAAGAAGTTCACCACCATTTTAGTGGAGTAAATAAATGAAATTAAGTGGGAAGAGAAGCCATACTTGTAAAAACATTCTTTTAAAAATGTCCTTAAGAGTGTCAGTAAATTCTGTTGTCATTTTGCCTCTTTATTTTCAAGAATTAGACAGTTAATTTTGATAGTTGTGGTTTAACCTGTCTGCTTTTATTTCTGATAGAAGCAAGTAAGTCCGACAGTTTATTCATGGATTTGATTTGAATCTCTAACTTGCTTTTGTCAAGTGCCACATTTAGTTGGCTTTTGTTTTAAGTCACCACATTTATGAACAGTATTTAAAAACATTTTAGAAAACACTTTAGTTTTCAATTGCTTTGAAATACTGCTTTTTCCTGACCATTTTCTTATGGGTGATTGTACTGTCTTTATCTTTCTTCAAAGAGTCTCTTGTAATCCCTGTTGATTGCAGTAGTGCTTAGTGGTGAGTCCATGGCTGATTAACCTTGGGTTTCTCCTGGTGAACTCCATCAACATGCTGCTGCTCCAGGGTCTGGCTGAGGCTTTTGAGTTCAGTGTAATTTGTCCCTTTTCTTGCTGGTAACTAAGGATAAGAAAATAAAATGGCTCATGGCTGTACTGGGAACTGGGAAGAAGTATTGACGTTTCTGAAAAACTGGTTACTTACAATGAGATGTAGCCTTAAAAAAACAAAACCCCTGGTTCATTCATCACATCATAGAATTGATTGTCCTGCTTTCTGAAGTGTTCTGCTCTCACACTTCGGTTTTGTTTGATTGCTTTTTATATTTGAATAATACATAGTACTTTGTAGTTAGTAAGCATCACATTATCTCATTTTATTTCCCTAACAATTCTTTTAAGGTCGGAAAGACAGGTAAATATCTATCTCCCTTTAATAGGTAAAGTGAGCCCAAAAAGCCTAAGTGACTAGCCCAAGGTCATACAAATAAAAGTGGCAGGGACTTAAACCTAGGTCTTGTGATTTCAAAACCCTGTACAATAGGCTGCCTTAAAGGTGCCCTGTCAGTCCTGGAGCCCTCTAGGGTGCCTTACAAAGAATTCTAATTATGTTGTTGCTAATACTTTCTCTTTTACTCTATGCCAGGGTATTTTTGGATGTTCCTTGTGCTTTTTGTAAGGAAGGTTTTGGAATTTGTTAGTTGGTATGATAGATAGGAATCCTTGAGGATTCCTTTTGCTTGGGAAAATTTCAGATAATACTGAAAAGAAATAGAAAAATAAATGTGTATTAATCCTAGCGTTCAGAAGCATGGTTAATATCGGGTCAACTATCCATTTAGACTTTATCTCCATAAGCATGTATGTATATTTGTTCATCACACAAAATCTCCCTGTTCTTCATGTGTCATCTGCTACTTTCAGACCAACTTCCCGTGTTAGTAAATATAAGTGTGGGTGTCTGTGATCACTTAAAAGGTAGCATTGTATATTGCACAATTAAATAATGCCCCCCCTTTTTTTTTGCCATTTTAAGCAGTGTTCTGACAACATATATACAAGTTTTCAAATAGTTTATTTTATTTATTTACATATGCATGCATACAAGAGCTGGGGTGTAGGCCAGAGGTGTGGGTAGGCGGAGGGGGGGTTGTGGAGAGAGGATTCACCAGAGACAGAGGAGGGAGCAGAACAGGCGTATTGGGATGCTCAGGGTAGCAGTGGGTGGTCTGCTGCACCATGTGGGTAACTCTCTGGCTGGGGATCGAACTCATGTTGCAGTGGCTGCGGATAGCTTCATAGTGCTGAGACTTATCCCCTCGCGCCACCAGGGAGGCCCATATTGTTTATTTTAACTAAATTTGTTGATATGACAGACCTTTATGTGTGCTTTA